CCCAAGGGCAACTCTTCTCTAGTCAAATGTATTTCATTTATACAAGGCAAACTACTATGGTAGAATCATACAGGCTGGAAGTTATTTACTTAGAAGTACATCACTTAATAAACAAAATAGTATATTAGCATGTGTAGTCATGCAACTGGCTGATGGAAAAAGCACAGAATGACTGTGGTCTATTTCCTCCTGATTCACAATTATAAAAGTTCACAGAAAGAACTCTCTAGGAATAAAGCAGAAATGTCCATTGGCTAAAAGTATAAGTCTCGTCTTCTATCCTGAGACTGGATACCTGAAAAATACAGCAATATGAAAGTAGTCAGTACAGCACGAGCATACATAAATTCTTAAAATGTTTTAAAGAAATGTTCTTTTTTTGGCACCTGGTGGTCATTTCATTAGGGCTATTTTAGTTCTGAGATAAATCACATCACTGAAAGTATAAAGAAGCCATGTGACCAGAGCAACCTCCCAAATGTGGGACAAAGCCCTAAGGTGAGATACAGGCAATAATAGTGGAAGCCTGAAGGATCTGGGGATTATTGCTCTGCTAGCACTAACATTGTAACGGCTGCTGCAGGGTGTGGTGTTTCTAACCTCTCTACTACAACAAGGAGCTCAAACTAGAGTTGTGTAGGATGAAAGTAAATCTACCCTAGAGGTTGAGAAACACACCTCTGAAGTGTCCCAACTAGCTTAGCAAACCACCATCTTCGCAAAGAACCATGGCTATTCTTAGAAGTATGTAACACACCTGGAACTACACCTGGTTGAAGATTACAAGAGCTCATTCCAATTTCATTTACACTGTTTTAATGTAACTGCTGGTTCCATTACCTACCTGAACTGGCAAGAGTGATGCTGGGGTTTCCTGGGCTTTGATAGGAGCTGGCTTTCCTTTCTTAATTTTAAGGGGAAAAAACATGATAAGCTGGAGCGGTACAACACTAAAAGTAGTTCTTACGTGAAACATTGTGCTTTTGCAACCCAGCTGTTGGCACAGGTGTTGCAGGACCATTGCACAGCATTCTGTGCTTTTAGAAATGTAAATATCAGCAGTCCCATAAAGAAGTCCCTAGTGCATTGAGAAGTATCCTCTCTTGGTTAGAGCCAAGAACTAGACGGCAGAATTCCTGGGGCCTGATTATAGACTGCAAGGGGAGTAGCTGTAATGACTGGGTGAACTTGAGCAAGTAACTTAATTTTTCTGTGCTGTTGATTGCCCATCTGCACAGTGGTATAGGTCACAGGGCTGTTAGAGCTTTTCAAACATATTAAAGCCTCCTGAGATCCTCAAAGGGAAGACAGTACTTGGAGAATGGCAACCTTTTTTTTTCCCCCAACAGTTTTTCCCTGACCATTTGAATGTTTTAAAGTTTCAACCAGCTGTGATGTTAGCAGTATTGCTTCTCTGTCCTGGCCCTATGCTCACTCACCCAGCCTTCATGAAATGCTTCCTGCTAGTGTAAGAGTGAGTTCCATATGCTTTAATACCCAGACCCACATTGCCAGGCCTTAATTAGAATCCTATAAATCCAGAGCGCATCTTTAATATAGTAAGAACATCACTTAGTATTTGCAAATATTAACAATGGCAAACATTACACCCTGCAAGGAGAAATCTGGGAAATACATATGCAATGTCAACACAAAGCTAAATCCATCTATTAATGGACCTAAAGCAAAAAATCTGTTGCAGAAATACACACTGCATTTTCCATATGGGGTCTGAGAACAAAGACACACTCTGCAGTCTGACTTGAGAATCTCATCTCTCCTTTCCAGCTCCACTAATGTTAGTAATGATGGAAGCCCTTGCAGAGATGGGATGGCAGCCTGTCCAGGCAGACAGGAAGCTGACTGTTCACCTGTTTATATTCATGGCTGGATATTTTTAAAAACACCCCCTACTCTAAATTGCTTTGTTAATATATCATTGCCCCTTCCTGCTGTGGGCATTCCGCTGTCTGGCCCATAGCAGATGTGCTACACATTCCCCAGTGTCTCTTTAAGGAGTTTTAAAAAACATTTTCATGTGAAATTAATGGGGAGAAGGGGCCAGATTGACAGCCCTGCTTAGAGAAGTCCTGTATTAACCCAGAGAACAGGGATAGCATAGGCAGCAACAGTGCCAGCATCCCCACCAGTGTGTCCAACCTAGCCTGGAGGGACATCGAGGGGAGAGCTTTAATGTCCACGTCTGTTCAGTCCTAGGTGGGTCTGAGACGAATAATGGTGCCAATTAGTCCCAACTGCAGTGGTTGACTTTGTGATGTGGGCGCCAGGGAAATGGACTAAATTCCTCTCTCACGGGTCCCTGAATGGTGTAAATTTTGGTCACTAAGCTCTTTAGGGCAGGGACCATCTTTTTGTTCGGTGACTGGTGCCTATCCGAATGGGATCACCTATGGATGCAGCCATATTACAAATAACTAACTACCAGATTTCCCTGGTGACCGAGTTTGGCTGAAGCTGTTCTGTCATACGTTTCTGGCCCCCATCACCATAGTATTGGAGCGCCTCACAGTCTTTAATGTATTTATCCTCATGTCAGCTCTGGGAGCATAGCAGTGCTATCAACCCCATTTTACAGATCACTTCCCTGTCCCTCTGTTCTCTAACTGATTTGTCACACAGGAAGGCTGTGGCAGAGCAGGGACTTGAACCCAGGTCTTCCAAATCCTAGCGTCTTAACCCCTGGACTACTTTAACCCCTTTTGGAAAGGAACAGGGATAGCCATAGCGTGAATTACACCCTGTCTATAGAGTCTACTGAACATCATGTTAAATATTTATTCAGTAGTGTTTGAAGTGAATATTAGTGCCGTTTCCTGGGTCAGGCTGGGAGACTAGCATGGCTCAAGGACCAGCCTTTTACCCCAATTATTGTTGTAATGGGGAGGGGGAAAAGCTCTTAGGCATATGGACATTTTTTTTTTATGGGCACTGTGGTTTGTTACTATATACGGGGTATAATTAATGCCTACCCCATAGTCAGATTGCTCAAATAATATCTAAACATTCCACTCCATTTATAGCCATACTCTGAGCTTCCAGCACACACCCAGCTGTTTGTTACCCACTTTGAGATCTACTAGTGAAAAGTGATATATAAGAGCTAGGGGCGCTCACTCATTTATGTGTGTTCTGAATATATTGTAGCTCACTTACATATTTGGTATCGCCTCAACATAACAGAGGGGAAAGAGCTGTGCAAGAAACTATAGAGGAAACAATTATGGTGCTACACTATGCAGCCAACACACAATTCCCAAGTACTACAGTACATATCATTGATGCTCTGTTGAAAATACTTCCAGCCAAGGGCTCTGAATTGTTAACTTATGACCTTGTCTCATATCATTTTAGCTTGCTATAAAAGGGACATTATTGGCGTGTGATATTGATTGTGTATTGCTTATTGTGCTAAACATAAGGGGGCAAGTCAGAGAACACAAGTATTTGGGTTATTAGGCTTTGCCATGGTTAAAGGCTGATTTTATTAGTATGAGACTTTGTGGAAGTAGTTATGCTAAAGGCTGAGTTTTAGTTAGAAGTTAGCAGGCCCAAGAAGTTAAGCCTAGGTCATTAATTCTGCACTCCTATTCAGAGAGAGAGAGAGAGAGAGAGATAAGTGACCACAATGGTACAATACATCACAGAATTATAAAAGTAATTCTGCAGTAAGGGAGTTCTGGCAATTAGTAACTAGGCAGTTAGACTGCATTAATGCATAGGAATTAAGAAAAGATGTTTATTAATGATTAAAAGCATAATTTACAGAGATCCAGAATGCCACATCTGAATAAGAGACTGGTATTAATCTTGTTATGATCCAATACATCACATAAAGACTGGATATAAAAGTCTAGTCCAGTCTTGTTCCCTGGTTTTTGGCTTCCTGGACTGGTGTCAACTAACGCGTGGCCTTCAGGAGTGCTCTGCTCACTCTGTATTCATCTCTATCTCTAAGTATTGTAAGTATGCTATCGTATCTTATGGCTTAAAAGTAGTTCTATGTATAAGGCTTTCTGCTGTTTGGTTATATTGATGAACAGAATTATGTGGTTTCTATGTAAAGGGTCAACTGAATATGTATATCCCGCTTGCAAATCAAGTCAGTCCTGTAATGAGAGAGAAACTTCTGTATAGCCCACTTTTTTGAAAGAACCTGTGAAAATCAGTAAGTGTGTGAAAGGTTTATAGTTTCGTTATTTGATCAGGCTACAGCATAAACTGGATTGAAGAGGAGCTAGACTGAATGAGTCTGCTTTTACCACCTTCAGGCATAGATTTTTATTTTTCATTTACAAGGGCAAATCACAGGAAAAGGAATAGTAAATATTTTCTTACCTCCCCCAGGAGTTAAACTTTGACTCATATTTTGTAACCTAGCTGATCCAGTAATACAGGCTGAACTAGAGCTTTGCTTCACAATAGATTCCTGGCTAGATGCTGGGCACCTTTCCTGTTGCAGAAAATCAAGAAGCGAACCATATTTCCCATCAGACATTGGTCCCTGCACCATCTGAGGGTCAGGCAAGGAGCGAGGATATCCTGACTCAGTAAGACTTGGATTAGCTATCGAAGGGAAGTGCCACAAATCTGCAGGCTGAATAGGAGGATTCCGCAAAACTGATGCCTGATGGTGGTCTATAGTAGCAGCCGACAAATTCAGATCAGAATTTGATGTGTTTGTAGCAGGAGATGATTGATATGACTTGGTCCAATGAGAAGAGAAATTCCACTGATGGGGAGACATGTGGCTATCTAGTTTTAAAGAAAAGAGTGTTTGAAGCGTTATTGAAGTTCTTATTTACTTTTCCAAGACAAATTCCAACTGACTTTTATGGGAATTTTACCTAAGTAAAGGCTGCAAAATTTCATCCAGATTACATAAAAGGAAACTTACAATAATTGACTTATTTACTACAATTCTAATTTTAAAGAAACAAATCTACACTAAAATAGACTAGCTTAGAAAGTCACTACCACCTCTAACTGTGAACATGAAACATCTCAGGCATTTTTTCTGAGGGGTGGGTGGCATAGCGTTCCTCAATGTCTGAAATTTTTTTTCTTAAATCCTGCAGCAGCTCTGATTAACTGTCTTCCCTACCTGCCCACCTCCTGGGGAAGAGAAAGCAATCAGAGGAGGTTTCCCTGCAGACAGGGCAGAAATTTGGGTGGAGGGCTGGAGCTTCTCGTGTCATGGCAAGACAGACTCTCTTCAGTTTAATTTTTAAAAAAATGATCTAAAATGATGTAATACATCGGAGACAGGTGGAGACTTTCTTCATAAAGTAGGGCCCTGATCCTGCACTTGGACCCATGCAGAGATTCACTGGGGATCCACACAGGCAGGCCCAATGGCTTACCCATGAAATCCTAAGTACAAGCTCAGGGTTTTGAAAGAATGATTTCACTCTTGATCAGAATTTGGACTCCTTTGTAAAAGTGGGGTTACATAGAAGTAAATGTGATAATTTGGTCCTCAGTGTCTAAATGTCCCAGCATAACTCTCTAGTGAGTTAAACAGCAGCATTGCATTGAAACACACACTGGATGAAAAACTGCTCACCATTCTTCAGGGTAACATCCTCACTCTTGTGCTTTGTGCTCAGATCTTGTGGGTTCTTGGCATTGCTTAACGCTCTAGAAAAGTGTTCATCTATCACACTGTTAAGGTCCCCTTGAAAGTAAGTAAATACAACACTCTGAGACCCCCATTCTGTTTTCACAGGCTGTTTGCTTTTACTCAGTGTTGGAGAGTTTTTCCTTTCTGCTTCCATCTTCAGTAACTAGCAGTGCCTATAAACAAAAACAAGAAGGACTTTGGAACCAAAGTTGTATTGCCAATGTTGGGTTTGATCATCTCCGCACTGAAGCTAGTAGGACTTGAAGGACCACTTTCAGCAGAAGTGGGGGCAGATCCTGTATCTGGGCTCCTGCTTGCTGCACTCTCCCTTTTCCCACCAATTTGCACAAGGATCTACAAACCCTGTGTGTACAGGGTTGCTAGCTCAGATTCGATGGGTGCACATGGATATCTGTACAGGGATGCCAATAAAAGAGCTTAATGATGCCAACTGGCCAGGTTGGTCTTTGCAGTAAGATTTATAATCCATAGGTGCAAAGGATAGTATGAGGATGGATAAATTTATCTCTGCTACATAGTTTCTGAGCCTGTGTAGGATCAATGGCTGGAGCTCCCAAATAAGGCAGAAAGAAAGGGTGGGGTCAGAGGGAACCAATGAGATGAGCTGTTCACTCACTAAGCAGTCTTCTTTTGGAAGGCACTGTGCCTAGACTCCATGTGTCCTGCCTGGTATTATTCAAGTCACAAAATGGGAGCCTGATGGTCCATTGGCATTAGCTCTAGGAAGGAATGGTGTCCTTCTGGCCAAGCTGGCAAAAATAGTATTAAGATGGTCTTAGCCAGCAACCACTGTGCCTGTCTCTCAGGCAACGTACTCTATGCTGTGCCACAGAATCATTACAGAAGTTACTTGACTGTTACACTTAATGTTGTTAAATTAATATTTATCCTGAGGATCAAAGATGCACTTCAGGGATCCTCAACACACTCCAACGTTGGTTTAAAATAGCACTTTCAAGCTTATATAGTAAAAATATTGCTTGCACACAAGCACATAGATGGATACAAGGTAATAGCTATGCCATACTAGCGTCAGAAGCATTTGCAGAAGCACTAGATTTATGACCACGTGTCTATATTCTCTGAACAGCTGCAAGTTAAATTTGTTTGCTTGGCGCACTCTACTCATTTTCTATCATTTAAAACCAGTGCTGGCAAGTGCCTGCTTGGCATTAGTTATTGTTCTCTAGTACCTCTGGACTGATAGTAGTACAGGAGCTATTCTTTGCAACCTCTGTAGGAGATGGCATGGTCTAGTGTTTAGCATGAGAACCTGGGAATCAGAACAACGGGGGTCCCATTATTGTCTGGTGCATGCATACAGTTCCCAGAGAGGTCAATGGGAGTGGCATAGATGCAATAATTGAGCTCAAACGTTCTATGCTATCTGGCATAGATGCAATAATTGAGCTCAAACGTTCTATGCTATCTGGAACTTCAGCCATGCTCATGCCACAAATTCAAAAATGTCAGACAAAAAAAAACCCAAACATAATTGGCCCCCAAATTGTGAGACTTAAATTTTTGTGTCTTAACTCCTACACCAGTCCTGGTTGGCTACTCTTCCCCAGAAGGTGGGCAGGTACAGAAAGCAACTAATCAGAAGAGATTTTCCCTCCAGCCAGGACTGAAGCTTCTCACAGTCGTGGCAAGACAACTTTCAGTCGCAGCTGAAATCACAAGGGTTGGCAATATTGACTTACTGTGTGACCTTGGAGCAAGTCACTTGAACTCTCTGAGCTTCATTTATTCCATTAATAAAATGGGAGACCACCTTCTCCTAGCTCAGAGCTAGTCAGCAAATGGAATTTCTGTCCCCCAGGAAATTCAGACATTCTGAAATTTATTTTCATCCCAAATCAGGACAAAGTCAAATCTTGAAATATTCCACAAAAGAAATTTTAAAATAATGTGATTTAGAAACATCAAAGTGACCTTGTCAAAACACTTTAGCCAATAAGGTTGAAACTTTATAAAATGAAGTTTAAAAAGTTATTTTTTTAAATCAAAATGAAATGTCTAAATTAAATACTCCACTTTGAATTTTTCCCTCAAATGTTGTCAAAGTTAACACAGTCTCACAAAACACCTTGAATCTGACTAACAGCATTTTGCAATGAAAGTGGTGGTGAATTTTTTTGACCAACTCTGTTCTGAGGTATTAAGGTTGATTCAGTAATGTCTGGGAGATGCTTTGAGATCCTTTAAGGAACAAATCTCAAAGAATGGCTCTGGCTCCAGAGTCTTGCTACCGTCAACATAATGTTATATCAGAGAGGGAAGAGAAAACCCTGCACCATGTTCTCTTATGACACTTACTTCAGTGGAGTTTAGAAATGCAGTTCCTTACACATTCAGGTTAGACTATCAAGTGACAAACCAAACACAAACAGATGATGCTCTATATATTTTAATTTATATTTCATTTGGCGGGGGGGAGGAAACAAGCCTTGGCCCAGCTCAGATATTCAAGTCAGGGAATTCCCGAAGACTTTCAAATCCTGACTCAGGATTAAATCACATCTTGCCACACACAAATGACTGCCCCGATCTATATAAGCCTTTCCCTGTTCAAGACAGGCTATTTTAACTATGTATAAATTGCCATATGAGAAATCCTTTGATTGCCATGTAGTGGACTTTCCAAGGCACTGCTAGGAGGGCATTTATTCATACTAGGCACACTGAGACCAGCATTGCCCTAACTCATTTTAAACAAATCTTTTGCTGGATAGGTGTAAGCACTGATGAAATTTGCCATCAGTTTAAATGTGAATCATTAGCAAAGGGACTGTATTTTGGAAAGTGATGCTAAAGAGACTTGGAGTCTGGTGGATAACCAACTCAACTTGAGCTCCCAGTATGATGCTGCAGTTAAGAAAGCTAAGATCTATGGATGCATAAGCAGAGGAATATACAGTGGCAGTAGGGAGATGGTATTACCTCTCTATACAGCATAGGTGCAATCTTTAGCAGAATAGTGTGTCCAATTCTGGTGCCCACACTTAAGTATATTGACAAATTGGAAAGGGTTAGAAAAGATTCAATAATGAGGTCTGGAAAACCTGCCTTACTGTGAGAGACTAAAGCAGCTCAGTATTTATCTTATCCAGAAGAAAATTGAAGAGGTGACTTGATCACAGTCTTTACATACTTATGTGTGAATTAAATTTCTGGTCCTAGCACTTCTGATCTTTACCTCTAGCAGAAAGAGGTAATGAAATCAAATGGCTGGAAGTTAAAGGTAGACATATGCAGACTAAAAATTAGGTGCAATAAAAAAAAATTTGAGACCATCTTATGTTTATACACTTCCTAGTACAAAGGGGTCCTGCTTCATGACTGGGGCCTCTAGTGCTATCACAAAAATTAATAAATGGAAGGTTCATGCCTCGAAGAGCTTGGACTCCAATAACACCAGAAAAGCACACTATTCCTACTTGATTTTCCACTGTCATTGTTCATATTCTGCACCAAACAGCACAGCTGATTTACCTTAGTGAAGAAATAGTAGCTTTTACTTTGCCTTGATTTGGGAAATCTCAGGCCTACAGCTAGCTGCATCATGTAAATTCTAGTATGAATCATTAAGTGGGCCTCTCTCCATCTGAGTCCAAAGGTGATTTTTTCAGGCTAGTGGAAGGGATCATGCCCGGGGGTCACTTGTTGCCAGAGCACTTGCAGGGATCAAATCTATCCCATGCCTCACTTTTAGAGGGATGGCAAGCATGCTGTGATTGGACTCTCCCTAATGAATGCTCCTTTAAAAACACCTGTTCCAAGATGATTTCCTCCCTGTTATTTGTGATTACACGTTAAATTCATTACGATTGTAAAGTCAAGCACTCAATTTCCAGGCCAAAGGACTACTTCTCTCATTACAAATCACTGATAATGTCCCTAGGTCGCCCTAGTTAACCATCCTCAATCTATTCATGACTCTAAATTGCATCCCGAGGCAAGTGTTTTTTTCCAGTATGAGTGCTCAGACATCTTCAACTCCTCTCACTTAGTGAAAAGGGCTGCGTAGTTACAGCACTAGACAAGATACAACAAAGTACTACAAGAAAATAATCAGTATCTATCTAGTTTTCCATACCATGCTCATACCCATGGTATCGGTGCACCTAAAACCATGAAATATTGTTTGAAGCCAACTTGTGGCAATAGAATCACGGCTGAGGTCATTTCTATCTCTATCTACCCATCCCCTAGAATGAGCCATTTGGACAAGGTTTGGGTGATAGGGAGGTTGACAGTATAAAGGCAGGGCCAAGATTTGGGAGCACTGTACGGTATGTTAACCACCCCAACCTTAACTTCCCACTCCTCCATCTCCAGCAAGAAGACTACAAAGAGGTAGCATACATAGCTTCCAGGGCAAATGGTCAGAGCTGGAAGCCACTAGTTTTCTTGCCTACCACAAACTACTGTCAAAATGTGTTTAAGAGGAATGTATTGATTCAGGGTGGGAGAGTACAAACAGGGTAGGATTTAAGATTTTTTTCTAAACAACCTATTATTGAAATACAAGGACGACAGTGGCCAGTGCAGGTGCCCCAGAGGGAACGAACAGGTAATCATCAAGTGATCCATCCCATTGCCCAGTCCCACCTTCTGGTTGTATAAAGTTCATTTGCTCTTTGAGAGCCAAGGTGTGTAGCTAGCAAGTCCCTGGGAATCCAAATGGTCAGAGTTGCTGCAGATGACAAGGCTCTGCGCTAGTTCTCAAACAGTGTCTCATGGAGCAACTTTGTACTCTGTTCCCTGCTGCCCAGAGATCCAGAACTGCCTGGAAAAAAAAATTCTTTTTCTCACTGTTTTTCCAAGCAGCATACAAACAGCTCAGTGAAAGTCTCCCCCTTTTCCAATGTAAAAGTATTGATACCACAACAGGATTCTCTTACCTTATTTTACTGCCTTCAATTGAGCCGCACTGGGAGACTATCCACACTCTGAACAGTCATGCTGTGGTACGCAGTGGCGTCTGTGATCCTTTCCCAGCATGGACGTGTGCGCTTTGCAGGAGAATGCAGGGAGTGTGCATGAACTCCCGAGCTGCTTTCTACCCCTCTAGCTGTGACTGAACTAGGCGTTTCCTTCAGCTTGGTACTAAGAATGCATGAAATGCACTCCAACAAGTCAACCAGGTTAGGTGGTTTCAGGAATGAGGAAAATAGGCTTTTAAAAATAGGATTTTGTTGACAATGTGTACACAATCAAGGAGACAATATCTACATTGAAGAACAGTTCCTAGTAAAAAAAAAATGTGGCAAAGAACCACTGGGTACATGACCAGGGTCAAAAATGTTACCTTCCTACAAAAGGTCAGACATACCTGAAGTCACTTATATAGATTGTATTCAACATTGAAGAGGAAAGGTTGCTTAGATGCCACCCCCAGATGCCTTATTTTCCATTTTTCCTTTCTCCTTCCCCACCTTACATCTATCCCTCTGCTTTCTGGTCCCACTGAAGTGATAGCTACAGCCATGTATGTGGGTACAACAAAAAGCATCTGCTCAACAGAATACAAGAGTTAGGTTGCTTGCTTAACTTAACTTTCTCTGTCCTAAACACTTTCTACCCTGTCATCTTGATGCGAGTTACCCAGCAGAAGCTGCAATTCTGGGTGGAATTCAGTTTGGTTTTAGTCTGCCTATCCATTTTCAGAAACTTTTATAGCACAAGAGAAAAAATAGAATGTATAGATTGTAAAGTAACCTTACCAGAGATACAAAGTCTGGCTCTAAAATATCAGTGTATATGTACACATGCATTAAAATTACTGTTCAACCACAATTTATAAATATTCATTCATGCGGTCTTAACAAAAAAATTACAAAACAAATCAAACGCGGAATTAGCCTAACTACGTTCTTTCAAACACTGATCAGAGAAGCAAAGACTAGCTTGTTTATAAGTTTGTTTATTAAAAAGGTAGTATAAAACACGACCCCTTTAAGAAACAAAAAAAATTCAAGACAAATCAAGAGCTTCTTCGATTCTGTGACAGGGCTAGAAATTATAAGTATGAAGGAATATTTAAAAAAATATTTACTTTTCAGAATGAGAGAATTTTAAATGGTAAATTGAATTTAGCTCTAAGGGAAAGCCAATTAGAAAAACTCAATTTATTGAAAGATTTAATCTTACACTATTACTACAGTAGTATTACGTAATGGGTCAGTGCAAAAAATGTAACACTAGCCATGAAAGCCATTTTGTATTTCTATAACCATATTTGATAGCACTTTCAGAATACCTTAATACCAAAAATTTCAAGCCCTGCATAATCCAGCACACACTCACATCAATTTAACACAACTTCCTTAATATACAAAATGTAATTTATTTGTCATACTACAGCATATTTTCTCAAATTCAGAAAAAAATAAAACTGAGTCCAATGAAAAATCTAAAGCGGTGTGATGTCTTAGAAAGAATTTAGCCAGGTTGTAATATAGAGTTTAAGATGTGGATACTGATTCACTGTAGTATTCAAAGGTCAGTGTAGTTTTATGAAGCATCTAATACCTGTACACTTTAGTGAACTGGGACTAAATATTCAAAAAAAATTAAATAGTTTAGCCTTGTGAATGAAATCTGGGACAAGTTTGTAGGTCAAAATGCACTGCATTTAATACATTAATGATTTTAAGCAAATTGCAATCCCTGTACAAAATAAAACATATTAAGGATTGAAATTCAGTTAAGAGTTAAGTATATCCAGCTGTATTTTAAAAGTTAAAGTCAGCAGGAGCAACAAACATTTTGATGCAAAATGAAACTAAACTATCCCTACACCTCCTCTCTTCAGACATATACATGCAAATGTGAAAAACACTTAAATCTGCTCCTTTGCGGCTTTTTTCCCCTTTTCCAGTCTAATCTTTGCATAGTACTTAATTGGTTTAGTTTTACCACCTCTTATGCACATAAGCATCTGTGAATCACTAGACTATTATTCAATTATAAAATGACAGATCAGTATGATTTGGCCCTTCAATACAAAATAATGAATAGAATAGAACTTGGCAATATTATCCACACTTTATATAAGAGCAAACTATTTAATATTCCCCCCCTTTGTATTTAAATTCTTTTAAATACACGCAGTGCTTTGCCACTATCTAAATCTACAAGCAGGATCTTCAGAAAGCAGCTCTTTGAATTTGAGCTACATTGATTACTGACCAATCATTTCAGTTTACTGCGAGACCAGAAACAGTTGGCCTTTTCATAAGACACTATAATATATTATTAAAAAAAAAAAAAAGGGGGGGGGGAGAGAACTTCTTGAAATGTTCACTTCTGACAAGACCTGTTTTCTCTGCTAACTGTAACAACTTCATACAGGTATCCAGGCAGAAACAGCACAGATCAGATTAGGAAAACGGCTTTCAAAAGCGAAGGTTTAAGGTAGGGTCTGAAAGCAAGCAGTATATTGACAGCACTTTGGAATGAACCATAAGGAAAACTAGAAACCCATATTGAATCCTGATCTTGCCATCTTTACTGAATTGAGAGGATCATGGACTCAATCCTATAAAACTGTACTCACAAGAGCAGTCTACTTCAATGGGACTGGTTATGTGAGAATTTTGTGCGTCTCAGGCCACGTGACAAGACTCAAGTTTTCTGCTACTTTTGAACTGTACCCATGTAAAACTATTTTAGGGGTAGATATTGTATTTCAGACGTTTGCTACTACATAGTCACTTGGCATAAAAACACTTACTAGAGTTCTAAAAAAATTATTAAATAATAATACATTCACAAGTTCTGCTCGTCTGCAGATCAGAGTTAAGAATTCCACACTGTCCACTAACTTATTCTACTGTAATATTAGAATTCATAATCATGTGCTTCAAATTCATGTTTTGTTATCACGTGATTCACTATAATCAGATGGCAAACTAATTTCCCCTATAAGCTAATGAATTATGAAAACTTTCATAATTACTGTATATAATAAAAAGGGAAAAGTATTCTAACTTAAAAACACTATTTACATAAACACCCCACTGGAAACTAGAAACAGTCATTTGTCTCGCTGTTTTCTATACATTATCACAATTCTTGTATAGTTCATGGATAAGATGCTGCTTTAAAAAAAATATTTTCCCTACTTTACTGTCAAAGCATAAAAAAAGTAGGTGAAGAGAGGTGTACCAACTTCAATGTTAATGTCTCACTGTAGACCGTTGTTTTGCTAGAAGCGGAAACAAATGGTTCAGAATTTCAGGCAGTGTCATGAAAATTTTTATATTCTTAGAAATTATTTCAAAATGCCAGTAAAGTTGTTTTGTTTTTTAGGTTTTGTTGTTGCTTTGTTTCCAGTCTGAAATAAGGACATTTTAATTTCAGTAAGTGGGCAAGCCAATCAAATTTTAAATCAACTGAGAGGGAAGTTACTGTACATACACCAATTCCTTAGTTTTACATGGGTTTTTAAGCATACTTTTAAATAGTCAATACTAAACTATATTTGATTTGACACTAACTGATAAGGCATTGTAGTACTGTAAAATATTCATTTCTTAAGCATTCTCTACAGCAATTTCAATTCCCCTTTTTTAATTGGTAAATTGAACTGCCCAGAATGTTTTATATAATTAATTAGGACCTCTAGAAACCTAACAAAGCAAGCTAGCATGACAGGTCCAAAGCCTAGAGTTTGGGAGCTAGAATAGAGAAGCGCTGAGAACAGTGCCCATGGTATTAAGCTGCATGTTGCACACAGAAGCTTTAAGTATTCACATTTTTGCAATCATGACAATGGTTAAGTACATACTGTACCAGCGGAAACATTTTGTATAGAACTATATGGGTTAAAGATAATTTGGAATTTGATACTATCCATAATTATATGCTAACCAAAATAGAATCCCTAAACAAATCAGAAGCACTTATTTTGCTAAGGTTTATAATTCATGATGTGCTCAAAGATGGGAAAAGAATCTACTGAGATAGTGAGAATTTAAAGGTTTCCTCTCAAGGGCATAATCAACTTTAAAAAAATCCCAAAAGGGTGTTTTATTTAAAATTAAATTGTCACACTAGTTTATAATTAAAGTATCCATCAATTTAATACAATCAGGGGTTACAAGTCTGATAATCTTAACTACTATTCTCTTATCTAGGTTGCTCATAAAGAAATAAGATGCAACCACAATGGCAAGTATTATTTTATACAAACTTATTGCCATAACCTACATAAACACAGTGATTACCAAAAAAACCTAGCTAGTGTAGCTGTTCAGACAAATTCAAAAAATCAAAGATAAGTACAGTACAAATGAAAGACAACCAAGGTCTTCTATCACAATTGAGTGCTTCAAGTTGGAAACATGAGCACTAACACCCATAATCTTTCACAACCCACTATCTACTTTTTTCAAAAGAATCAACAATTCCAGTTGGAAGTTTAAAAGGTATCCTCAAATGAACAAATAATCCAGAGCGAGTTCCAAATATTAACCGATATGCTGAGGAACTAGGACCAACATTTTTAAACAGGGTGCCTAAAGTAATGTTATTCAAAAATGCTCAGCATCCAAGCTGATCCACTGAAGTCACTTTTGAACTTCTGACTACTTCACACA